TCCATCTTGCATTCCACAGCTTTACTAGAGCTTCCTTTCAGGCCAAATTCACAACATTTTTATCATCTTCTGGGCTTTTTGTTCTGGATTATCAATATAAAATTGGCTAAAAGCTCCCAACAGTAGCCATGCCACTATCTCAACATTTGACTGCCTTGAAATTTCTTCTACCATTTTAATTAGTTCCCAGCCCTTAATCTCTGTCTTAAAGTCTCTGGATACCAGCAAAAGTCTGTTTTCTTTCCTTATAATGTATGCAGAATACCCACCCTAGGGAAGGTGGAACACTCACATGCCAACCCCAGCATTAGACAACAAACTAATCACAAAGTCTAGATTCAGCTGCCTTTGAAATGCCCACCCTCCTTGATGAATGAAACTTTAGGTGGACATCCAGACACAAACCATAATAATGGCCAAGTGCACTTTCATTCTGATGACTGGGCTGTAATTAAATGGTTTCAGCCCCTAGAAGCCAAAGGTGGAAACTGGATGCAACAGTGGGAGGTACAGTTGTGGGAAGGTGGTGTGTGCTCCTGCCCTCACGACTGGCATTGGTTCTTCTAGTGAAGGTCATGATGGAGGCAGTTGCTCCTTCTTTCTTTCTATCTGCTTGACCTCATTTCACAGTATCCAGGCTCCTCTCAGAAAGCAGGGCATGCCACACCTTGAGTTTGGTCCTTGGGCCTCTGTGAATGTTCTTCACAAATTACCTGGCCTCGGGTCTTGCTACAGCAGCACACAGTGGATATCATATATATTGCTAAAATTTGGAAGTTCTAAGAAAGAGACCAAGAACATGCATTTAGGAATATGTTTTAGTTACTTTTCTTATTGCTGAGATAAAATACCTAACACCTAAAATTAAAGGTGGAAAGATTTATATAGCTCAGTTTGTGGAGGTTTCAGTTCATAATTAGCTGGCTTCAGGGCAAGATGGTTCCATGGTAGAAGGGTAACTGTTCATGGCACCAGAAGAAAGCAAATGCAGGGGCTGGAGATTTGGCTCAGCAGTAGAACACTTGCCTAACAAACTGTAAGCCACGAGTTTGGTCCTCAGAACCAAAAACAAAAAATAAAGCTCTCCTAGAAAAAAAATGCAATGAGAGGGTCAGAGGGAGGGATGGAAGGAGAGAAGAGGGAAGAAGGAGGGGTAGAGAAGAGAAATAGACTTTAGTACTAATCAATGTGACTAAATACCAAGAAAAAGAACATAAAGGAGGAAAGACCTATTTTGGCTCATGGTTTCAGAGGTTCTAGTCCTTGATGGACTGGTTCCACTGCTGTGTGCCCAAGCTGAGGCAGAGCACCATGTTGTAAGGATGTGGAGGAGCAATTCTGCTTAGCTAATGGTGGCAAGGAAGAAGAGAGAGAGGGAGACAGAAATAAAGAGGCCAAGGGCTAGATAACATCTCAGAAGTTACATCCTTATGATCTCCTTTCAACGAGACCCACCTCTGGTCTCCATCACCTCCCAATGTGGTCACCAAATTATGACCCTACCAATGGTTAACCCATATGTTCTGGCTTGTGTCTAGCTAGGTAGGTTGTCTCAGGCAATCATAGATGGAGATTTTTGCAGAGGTGATTGAAACTAGAGTTGTGACACACTGGCATTGATTTATGTTGAAATGCTAGTTTAAAGTGGACTAGGATCAAAGATGAGCGTGCTATCCACCTTAAATAGCCTGGATAATATATAAGGGGTGGAAAGAACTGTGGCCATTCTGTGCTACCTTTTGCCCACTATGAACTGCTTCTCCTCCATGGTACCTATCTAGCATGTGGCAACCTGCCTTAGAGCAGGCTCACGGTGGACTGAAATCTCTACAAACTGTGAGCTAACTAAATCTTTCACCCTTTCACTTAGGGTGTTGGGTATTTTTTCTCAGCAATGAGAAAAGTAATCAAGACATCATAAATAGAGTTAACAGTTCTTATGGCCTACTTACTTCCAGAAATGCTATCCATCAAACTTTCAACAGAATGACCCTCCAGGGAGCATTTCAGATAACAACCAACACAACTTCCTTCCCTTATTCTAGAAATCCTAAAAGTCAATATTAATGTCTTTCAATAATAGATAAATGGAAAGGGCAAAAGGATCCTTGATTTTTTTTTTTTAATTTCAAAACAATATATTTCCAAAAATTCTGAGGGCTCAGACTTGGAAAGGTAGTAATATACGAAAAAGGATCTTGGGTCCTATGATCTTTGGATTATTTTTCCTGAAATGACAGTGGGTCTGTGTTGAGTAGATTTTGCTGATTTTTGTAACTTATACCCTCAGTTTTAAAATTAAGTATGTGTAATCTCTGGGCATGGGAGATACAAATGGAATTTAAGACTATGACCTTGGTTTAAATGTATAGGCTTGCAATTAAAAGGCTTCTCTTAATATAATCATATTTATGTGAAAAAATTGGGGACAGCATGGCTACTGCACATTGTACCATGGATACATCACTCTGTATTCTTTTCACTTTATGAAACCCTTTCACAATTCTATGTTGCTTTATCTGCTGCTATGGATCCGTTTAACAGAAGCAGCACTAATGATGGCTCAGAGTCAATGTGCTTTGGGCCACAGATCTTATGAGGGGCAGCACAGACTCAAGCCCAATTCTTTTACTCTAGGCAACATTTGCTATTATACCATTATTATGGCTTGTATCTAGATACCCCCACCCCACCCTGCACCAAAGGGGGGGGAAAAAAAAAAAAAGCCTTACACACTCTGAAAAGCAAGGCTTTTTAGAGCTGGTAGGCTCTGGGGTGTGTGATACTGAGATTAATGATGTGTGTTACTAAAGTAGCCCACTGATAAGGATTAGCACAGCTCTGGATAGTACCACCCAAAAGGCTGGCAGCCTGGATGGGATCCAAGGGAGAGGCAGGCTTTCTGCTGCTGCTGCTTGCTCCCCTCTGGCAGCCCCACCACTGTTTCTGCTCTGCGATGCCCTTCTTTATTGTCACACTGCCTTGGATCCTGCCAAGCATAGAGTAAAACCTTTAAGAAATGTGAGCTACAATTAGCCTATCCTTCTTTAACTTTAGGTGCTCAGTGTTTAGTCTCAGTAAACAGAAAAGTTAACTAAGACAACCACTTTGGTACTTAGTAACTGATGACTGATAAGGCACATTTTGCCATAAATGTCCCAGGTAAAAATCAAGATCAATCTCTTTGATTCCCGAGTTTCATGTACCACTGAGGTACACTCCTGACCCAAGAATCAAGATGCTACTGTGAAATACAGCTTTTGAGAATTCTCTACATAGATTTAGAACAATAGTAAACATACATTAGTGTTTGAGAAAAGATAGTAACTAGTCATAATAATTTTCTTTTAAAAAAAGGCTATTAGGAATGCAGTTCATAGAGGGTCATCTACTTCATACCAATGTTATTATTATTTTTGTATTTTTAGGGAAGGGTCTACAGGGTGTTCAGGGCCTCACTACTAGATGGGACTCACTGATTCACCTGTTTACAGCCTCCCAAGAGCTGGGATTACAAGTGCGACACCATGCCAAGACTCAATTGCCATCTCAGCGTGACCCTGGGGCGGGGCCAGCACAGCATACCCAGGGATCAAACCCCCAGCCCCTACTTTGCAGGCACTTTAATCCACTGAGCTATTTGGTCAGCCTCAATGTTATTTTATGACAAGATACAATGTTATCTTTTATGACAATGTTACTTTTTATTAAGTAGTTACTTGAGATATCATTAAACAGAAAAAATACTTCTGGCTAGGCATATTTAATAAACACACATAAATATATTACCACAAACACAAGTACAGGGCACATAAGCCAAGAGTATTAGCACACATGCAACAGTGCCCTTGCCAGGGCAGGAAAAGAAGTAAATGGAATCATGACACAACTGCTGTGAAGAGAAACTGGTATTGACCTGTTCTCTGAAAAAGAAGGAAAACTAATGAGGGTAATGAACCAATTCTGGATTTTAGTTCCAACGTTGGGTGAATTGGTTTTGTATACTTAGGGCAGGTTTCAAGCTCACTATTTCTAAAGGAAGCAAATACACTAATCAGAAAAAGAAGTTTAGGGATAAGATACTTTGTTTCATCCTTCCCAGGCACCCCACGTAACACACAACATTTACCGTGGCTTACTGCATATACACTACCTATCTTCTTCGTCTTTCAACATCCCTAAGCAAACAGGTGGTGCGTGTCACATTTCTCCCGGGAAAGGGGCGCGAGGGCCGGTGCCCGAGCAGACGCAGGAGGCAGAGAAGCCCGCTGGGGCGCCCGCCTGTTTTGCCTCCACAGCGGGGTGCAGGAGGGATGACGGTACGGCGCGGGGGGAGGTCAGGAGTCCCGCTCACCTCCACCCGGGGCCGCACCTCCTCATCCTTCACTGGAGAAGAAACGCGCTGGGGAGCCTCTTCGGCGGCTCACACCAGGAAGCGGAGGTCCAGGGACCTGACAAAGCCTCTCCCTGACACCCTACCGCAGCCTCCAGTCTGTCAGCACCACCTCAGGCCGTGCGTTCCCCTGTGTGCACGGGCGTCAGCCGAGGACCGGGAATCGTACGCAGCACACCCGCATGCGACCCACGACGCGCATCGCGGTCTACCACACAGTCGGGCGACCAGGCTGCAGACAACGCCGACACCTGTCAGCTCCACTGGGCGAGGAGAAGCCACGCCAGCAGGGAATTGGGACGGCGGGGTCGCAGGTGCGTGCGCCGCCTGGCGACACGTGACCGCGCCGCCCTCCCGAGCCTGCCCGCCAGCAGCCGAGGCCTCGGCTCTGCTTTCCCATCCGTCCGTTCTCCCCCACTCGCTCTCCGACCGCCAATCAAGACTTGAGTTCCGGAGTGCCCGCCCCTCCTCCCCGTCTTTCGCCTGCTTATAGGCTGAGACCTCGCAGACGCGTTCCGAGGGCGGGCGGCGACCATTGGTGGGATGAACAGCCCGAGTTCCCGGATGAGGGAACATTCTGCAGTATAAAGGCAGCGGGGAAGGCGGGAGACGGCGCAGTTTGAATCGCGGTGCGGCGGAGGAGTAGAGGTGGGCCTCGCTGCGTGTCCAACTGGCCTATTCACTGCCTGCGTGCTTGCGCCTCAGCGGAATTGGAAATGGTAGGCTCGGCAGCAGCGTCGCGGGCTAGGCCTACCGCGGCGGCGGCTGGGTAGGGCGAGGGCGCCGACGGCGGCCCTGGGCCTTGGCCTCGCGGCGGCGGCGGCGGTTGACGGGGGCGCGCGGCGACGGGGGCGCGCGCGGGGGAGGGGCGCCAGTAACCCTATCTCCGCGCTCGGCGCAGGCTGGCGGGAAGGCCGGGAAGGACTCCGGAAAGGCCAAGACAAAGGCGGTTTCCCGCTCGCAGAGGGCCGGCCTGCAGGTCAGTGGCGTCGCAGCTCGCGGCCCGGGTTCATCGCGGGGGCGGGGGTCACGCCGGCGCGGTCCCCACCTCCGACTCTGTCAATCTTGTCCCCCGAATGCAGTTCCCCGTGGGCCGCATCCATCGACACCTGAAGTCCAGGACAACCAGCCACGGGCGCGTGGGCGCCACGGCCGCCGTATATAGCGCGGCCATCCTGGAGTACCTCACGGCGGAGGTGCGGGTCCGGGCTGGGCCGGGCGGTGCGGGACGCCAGGGGGAGCCAGCGTCCGGAGGCGGCGCCTCGGCCTGCGTTCTGTCGGCTGCCCCGAGCGGCGGGGAAGCGGGAAGGCTGATTAGGCTCTGCATTTTAGGTGCTTGAACTGGCAGGAAATGCATCCAAAGACCTGAAAGTAAAGCGCATTACCCCTCGACACTTGCAACTTGCCATTCGTGGGGATGAAGAATTGGACTCGCTCATCAAAGCTACAATTGC